ATTTCCCCGGTTTGTATGAGGTAGGCTTTTCGGGGGGGGGGGGGGGGGGGGGGGATATTGGTAGTGGGGCAGGCGGTGGTCGTTAGATTTTGGCCTTGGGGGGGGGGGGGGGGGGGGGGGTTGGATTTGGGCCCCCCGCCCTTTTTGCAAAGGGCGGGCCCACCCGGGGGGGGCCCCTTCGGGGCAAGGGGCGGGCACCCCTTTTTTCAGTTTTGTGGGCTCCCGTTTTTTTGCCCCCAATCCCTCAGGGTGTTTCGCGTTGGGGGATGGGCCACCCTGGTCCGCTGGGACCCCGGGGTGTTCCGTCCAGATTTTGTGGGGATGGGGGGTCAAGGGCATAAGGACTGTAAGTCCCTTTTTCCCTTTTTGGGGGGGGGCTCCCCCCCCCCCCCACCCCCCCCCCGAAAAGGTTACGAAATCTTCTATGGATTGGGAGACTTACAAGGCGGCCGAGGGCATGGAGGGAGACATGGAGCAGGCCACGAAGGACGGGAAAGGGTACCTCAACAAGCAAGACTTCTTGCAGCGGTGCGACGTGCGGAAGTTCGAGACCGAGCTCGAGGCTCGCCAGTCGAAGCGCGACGCATGACGCATAATCTCATCATTGTTGGCTGTGATGGCCGGAAGGGGTGTCCAGGTCGAAACAGTCATGGGAGTCGGGTTTCGAACAGCGGTCTACGCAGTTTTTTTTTTTAAGTAAGCAAACATGCTGGATACAGTATAGAATCGGCTATGTTGCGGTTGGTAGGCGTACGGTCTGCTTGTCGTGGCAACCTTACTTTCTTGGCGTGGACAGTTCGGTGGAACCGGTCGTGGGAGTGGGGTTTTTGAAGGAGGCGAGGTATCCACAGGGAGGCGTGCATCGCTCCGTTCGGAAACATAGGGGCCATTGGGACGATTCCATTTAGTCGTCTAGCTAGTAGAAGTGGAGGATAGGGGCCAGCGGGGCAGACGACAGAGTCCAACGATGGGAGAAAAAAAAAAGTAGTATCCGAATGGTCCTTACAGAGTGGTGTTGTTGAGCGTTCGTTCAACGCCGATTTTCACGTGTAGGAGATGTGCGCCACCAGCAAGTTTGTCTCGCTGCAGTAAACTTCGAAGTATCCCTTCGGCTGGGCACCGTCTTGTTTGTGATTGATGTGTTTTATATGTGCATGTGAACAGCAGTGATCTTCTGGAACGCATGCGTGGGCGGTTGCTTTCGTTCCTGTTCTTCTCGTCTGGTGGTCTGCGGTGATTTGTTTTGTTGAGAGTAGAGCGGCTGGAGCGCGGTGTGGAGCCGTGCTCATTGATGGTCGTCGTTTTTGTTGTCTCGTGTTGGAGGAAAGCAGCATGTATCTCCAGCGGTGGGCTGGATTTCCCTATGGTTTTAATGCCGGAACACCCTGTGGTGAATTCGAAACAATGGCAAAAGACGCCTGGCCGAAAGTAAAAACCGGCGGGAGCTCCCTCTTTGCCTCGCTTCACCTTCCGTTTCCGTTTTTTTCGTGTACTCCGAAGGCTAGGGCACGGTCTTTACCGTAGTTTAGGATACGGTTTTCACCCTAGGCTATCGTAGGACATGATACCCGTAACGTGAATGCCGGAAAACGCGGATGACCCCCAAATTGGCAAGAGAGCCCTCCCTCGGGGTGTCGATCGGCTCTCTCCCTTGTCATACAATTGTCATAAAAAAAAATGCCAACGCTTTCCGGTTTCTGTTCTCATCAGCCGCGACGGGTGATACGGGTCCTTAGGTCTTGCCGGTGTTTGTACCCAGCGAATGGTTGGCACTCGAGCGCTGATTGACTCCCAGCGGAGAGAGGGGTGTATGGTAGAAATAAAATCAAGTACTTTCATCAATTATATAGTTGTCCGGGGGTGTTCGCTGAACCTTTTCCCCTCTTCGGACCACTTACTTTGTTTCCGAAAGCGGATAGCGAAATCAAATGTTAAGCGTAACTACCATAAACCCTTCCTCCCCGCCGAAAAACATGAACACACCGGACCCCCATTTTTGAAAAGCCTCAAATCACTTCTTGAAAACCTTGAAGGATCATCCTTCCGTGAAGCTAGCATCTCAGCCCCTGGCGATAGTCTCGGGTCCACAAACAAAAGCGAAAATCTACAGCTACGCCAGTTTGTTCAGTGAATGGTGCGCCGTTTCCATGCATGCACATAAAAAATGAACTTGTGGCGAAAACAAATGTCAGCTCGGCGTCACATATCTACTCCCTCCAATACAGCCATCCTCGTTGAAAGCGTATTTCTGGCGTACACAAGGGTCCCGACATCATGCAAAACGTTCAGCATGGTGCTCCGAGCAACACCCGTCCAACTCCAGTACTTCCTTGCACAGATCACCGAAGAACAAGCGGGTACGACGAAAAAAAAGACAACGAGGCATGGAAGAAAAAAAGACGAAGTCGCGCACATCTGATTGATCCGTACCACGCCTTTGTGCCGCTAACATACGTCTAGTCGGGTGCACCGGCAACCGCACAGGGTATCCAATCGCGGCAAAGGATTTGACCTTGTCGCCGTGGTTATGCCAAAGGTGTGATTGATACCACACAGCACACAACTTTACCCCCACCGGTTGGGGTAGACAAATGTACCAGGTATTGTAGGTACAATATTAGCCGCACTCTCCTTTTGCCGTGTACTATCTAGACTACTTTTGCACGTACCTCCTCCTTGACCACACGACCTTGTGTGAGAACAAGACTACTTGACAACTTTTTCGCGCTTTCCATTTACCGCGCTGTGCAGAATCTCCCGCACTGAAAAACCGGAAGAATCCGCACCACAAACACAAGGCGAACGTTCTCGTCAGCTAAAACCTCGAGATTGGCGATGCGGCTATAGACCAATTCCTAAGAACGAAAAACAATCACTTTCCTACTGAGAACGAAATCTCCGTCCTACTTTCGAACCAAGTCCCATCCCCGTCCTACTGAAAACGAAAATCAATCCCCGTTCTACTTTTGAACGAAGACAAATCCTCGACCTACTTCGAATGAAAACAAACTGTCCGCCTCCCTGGCGAACACTATGCAAAATCCATTTCTCTACGCTACGTTTTGACGCGCCACCGAACCGCAAACACGGTATCATGACGGGGCGCGCGGGATTGCGGGGGCAGAGAAGCCCGAGAAAACAAGCGGCGCCAATACGAGGGAGGGCACAACATCAGACCGGAGAAAAAAAAAAAACTATTTCTTCGAAGTAAATAGGTATTTTTTTAATCTAGACCGAAGCCAGGAAACGTTAGGGTGAGCCGCCGTGTTGTCTTGTTGGTTAGTTGTCCTTGTTTCCGTTCTCTTCCAGGGACAGCCTCTCCACCGCTGCATTCACCTCCTCTCCGGGACCCACCACCATCACCTTGGCCCACAGGCGCTGCCCGAACCTGCGGGAGGCGTCGTCGCAGGCGCGCCAGTACCCCTCGTACATGCCCGGCTGCGGCGGCGCGACCAGGTCCACCGACACCGTCGCCTCCTCCCCGGGGGAGACGTCTCCCACGATCGGGGCTTCGGGGGGCGAGGACAGGTCCGTGCAGCTCTGGCTGACGGGGATGAGCGAGCAGGTCTCGGGCCAGGTCGTGGTGGAGTCGTTGCGGACCAGCCACGACTTCTTGAACGCCTGGCCGGCGGCCACTTTCGTCACGTCGCTGCCGGAGGTGTGAGACACGAACCTCGCCATGGCCATGTTGTCCTTGGTGCCCTTGCCGAAGCCGCGCTTGGCGGCTCCTCCGCACCCAGAGCCGCCGCCGCCGCCGCCGCCTCCACCGCCGCCGCCACCGCCGCCGCCGCAGTGGCGGCCCCATCCTCCCCACCCACCGCCACCGGGGCCGCCGAAGGCGTATCCGTATCCGTAGCCGGCCCCGGGAGCGCCGGGGAAACCGCCGCCGCTGAAGTCATAGCCGGGGGGGCCGTGCTGCCACATGTGGTGGTGGTGGTGGGGAGGGGGGCCGCCGTACCAGTCGGCACCGCCGCCGCCGCTGCCGCCGTCCTCGTGGTGAAGGTCACCGCCGCGCATGTGCGGCGGGGGAGGGTGCCGGCCTCCTCCACGCTGGTGGTGGTGGCCGTGGGGCGGCTCCATCGGAGGACCCCCCATGCCCATGCCCATCATGTGCGGGGGGGGGGGTCCGCGCGGAGGCGGAGACCGGTGAGCGGCACCACCCTCCGCTCCGCCGCCGCCGCCGCCGCCGCCGTGAAGGACCAGAGAAGCCCCCGCCCTGGTGGTGGAATGGCGGGGGCGAGTGGAACTGCATCATGGGCGGCGGCCCGCCCCCCCTGCCGTAGGGGGGACCACCACCCCTGCCGCCGCCGCCGCGGCCGCCGAAGCGGCCTCCGGGCCCGTGGCCGTGGCCGTGCATCGGGTGGCCCGGCGGCCCGCCCCGCGGGCCTTTCCCATCGCGGTGGTAGTGGCCGTCCGGCATGTCCTCCAGGAACTCGGGGCCGAGGAGGCCAAGCCTGACCAGGCGCCTGGAGCGCACGCGCAGGGCCTGGAGGAGCGGCTGCACCTCGTCCCCGGGCAGCTCGACGCCGTTGAGGATGAGAAGGCGCTGAACGTGGTCGGCCACGATGGTCCGCGCCACCTGGCTCTTGCTGCGCTTCAGGCCGCGGACGGCGGAGGGCTTGTTCTCTCCCCCCTCTTCGTCGGAGGAGTCTACGTCTGAGGCGGCGGCGGAGGCGGAGGCGTCCAGCGACCGGTGCGGCGCCAGGCCGAAGACCACCAGCTGCCTGCCCTGGATCTGGAAGAGGGCCATGACCCGCCACAGCTGGGTCGGCGTCAGGTGCACCTTGAAGCGCTTCGCCAGGCGCATCGACGACTTCTGGTAGAGCAGGCTCCCTTCCGGGTCCCTCGCGGCCGCTGCCTCCGCCTCGAAGGCCGCCTGCGGGTTGATCGCTTCCTTCTCCGGGCCGTCGGCTTGGCTACCATCCACGGAGCCCCCGCTCGGGCCGGCCGCGGCGGCGGCGGCGGCCTCTCCCGGCATGTCCACCATGATCATGTCGGCGTCGTCGCCGCCGCCCACCACGGAGCCCACGTTGGAGGCGACCGCGTAGCCGGGGGTGGAAGGGATGGACGGGGGAGCGGCGCTGGTGGCCTCCGGGTTGGGGGTGCTACGCGAAGAGGAGGAGGCGGAGGAGGAGGAGGAGGAGGAGGGCGGGGGGTTGGCGACCATGATGCGGAGGGGCACCGACGATGTGCGGAGGGCCAGGTCTAGCTCGGCGTTAGTGTCGAAGCGTACCTGTTGCGTGCGAGAGAAGAAAAAAAAAAAAATGGTCGAAAGGGAAGGGGCGACGAGGGCACGGGGGTGAGAAGGGTTGGTGCGATCTACGTGTACCGTAAGGGGTGACGAATGCCGTTGAGGCGTGATACATATCCCGCGGTAAGCGGGTTGGTTCGAGACGCCAACAGAGAAAACTCGGATACTGCCGTAGCCATGGCCGGTAGAAAAAAATATTTTTGCACGACAAACGTCAAAACAACTAAAATAACTTGTCACGCGTAAAAATAAAACGCTCGCACGACAAACATCTGGCGTCAAGAACACCGTGCCGTGTGTGTGTTGCCATCATCCCATTTATTCTTGGCGGCAGGTGAGACGCAGGTTTTAGAGCTCGTCCGGTACATCTTCGGGCGAGCCAGCCACGGTGATGCAGGAAGGCCACACGAGAAGCTTACACGTGGATGTCCATTTTTTCATGTTCCGAGTATTGTTGCGACACTCATGGTTGAACGTGGGCGGATGTACAACGAGTTGTTCGCTCCGAGCGGAGACGTGTGGGAGAAACGGCGGAAAGATAGCCTCCATCTCTCACTGAGCACCAACTTTTCTCGACCAACTCAAGCACAACATCGCGCACTTCCACGACAACAAGAGGGTGCCTGTGTTTGACTGATTGGCGTCTAACCGGCCGACCAATGGAAGGCGTCAGTGCCAGCGGGCAAAATCGAAAAATCAAGGTCCCTATGCATACACGTAACAGGGGGCTAATAGTCGGAAAGCCCACATATTTTCAAAACACCAACCGTTCGGGATAACGATCGGCACGACGTGTTGCTGCCATCTCTTGGGACGGCAACAAGAAGGTGTTTCGGCTGTGCGGTTTGAACACGGGAACATGCTTCTAAAGGCATTGATCTGGGACCTCGTGACGGGGCGTCATGGGGGAGGCTACAGCAGTACTCTCCGGATTCACGACAGAAACGGTACGGTAACAGCAGAAGAGAACTGCACGTGACTACGGAGGTGCTACTTCGCACCCGTGTTCTTTTCAGACCCCACCGTACCGCCGTGTGTGTGCCTTTTTGCCCCATTTTTTCTGGCGGCAGGCTACACACTAATAGGTCAACATGTATGTTAGGACATGGAGATACCTATCAGCGGCGTCAACATGAGAACCAAGTCTGCCGATTTCGACGCAAAAGACTGCTGAAGACTACAGGAGAGTACCGTACAGATTTGTTATTTTTTCTTTGAGGTTCGCCGCCGGGCTGTTTTTTTATGACATGTGTGCTCCTACGAGCCCACTCCGCAGGGATGGATCACTGGATAAATCAAGAGGCAGATCAGATCTTCATCCATCAAATACATAGATAAGTACGTAGATACTGCTGTATACAGGCAAGTCAACAGCACTGCCGTTCCATCATGTCCAGTCTAGCCTGGAAAAAACGCCTGCTGCGCAAGCGTACTGCCAGACGAGAGATGGCTGCCAAGATTTTGGGCGCCTGACTTGTGCGGTGCTCGTCTTGTACAAAATTCGTCAAGCACACAAGCTCGATCCACGTGTCTGTCTGCGATCTCCGAAAACGCCGTCATAAAAGTCAAGTAGTGCCGGTCGCCCCGGTGGTCTAGTTGGTATCCTCGAAACCTTCTAGAGGTCAGGTCAGGGGTTCAAATCCCGGCGCAAGCGAGCTTTTCTTGCAAAGTAAGTTTTTCTCTCGCTTCCGCTCCTCTGGCCTAGTGGATAGCGCTAGTTCGTGTGTACACAGAGGGAAGAGAGTGCTGAACTCTTCTCGCATTAAAAATCGAAGGCAAAGTACCGCAGGAGGGGAGGGTAGAGAGGGGCTCTCCTGTGTGACCACGGGTTGGAGTAAACGGCACTAGTGCTGTGAGCGCTGATTTGAAGTGAAGACAAAAAAAAAAAAAAAAAAGGGCGTGACGCCCTCCGCGCCGCCAACTTTGTAGGTCGGGAGTGTAAATTTGTAAAATCTCGGAACGCAGCGTTGGGCTACTGTACGAGGCGCGCAGCTCCCCATCGACCATGAACCCACAGCTCTATTCTTCGTCATGCTACAATACACCCACTTCTTTGTGCAACCCCTTTCATGTCCCTACCGTCCTGCCGCACTAAAAATCAATCAGTTCTAGGGCATGCCAGTTCAACTTGGCTGTTTTCTGAAGAGTTCTCGCTCTTGGTGTATGGGCCCCCGCTCACACAAGCGGGACCATCGATGGGAAGCGAGCATCGAATGAAAATAATAAAACAAAGCGTAGACCCCCCCCCCCCCGTGTAGCCACACGAGACCCACTTATCGAGCCTCAAGCGGCGGCCTCTTGTCCTCACGTCCTCACCTCATCGCCCTCGTTGTCCTTGTACGTGAAGGTCAGTTGCTTCTCGACTCCAGCGGGCAAGCTGTAGGCCTCCATCACCGTCTTCAGAAGCTCGTCGAAGCGCGGGGGGCTGGGTATCTCCATGATCCGCAAGTCTCCATCGAGTTTTATTTTCACGAGGTGCGCCATGTTTGTTGTGACTGCTGCTGCTGCTGTGGTTGTGCCGTGGAGCAAGTTGGCGAGTGTGTATGTGTGTGTGCCGGGTGCCGGGTGTGGGGTGGTGGCTTCTTTGTTCGAGAGTCGACCGTTCTCGAGAACGTTCTAAAGAAAAAAAACTGTTTTAAATTCCGCCGCGTTTTTTTCCTGCTGCCCACAGTCCTGCGGCGGCAGGCGGCAAGGGGGCACTCCGTCGACGCTGTGCTATCCTGCTGCACGACGCCCTCACTCTCTTGTATCCCTCCGCGAATCCTGCACAGAAGCCTCTATCCGAGCTCGCCGACACGCCCCTTGTACCTCCGTAAACGATGGCACCAGCCTCGAAGAAACGCAAAACAGGATCAGCAACGCCGGTGGGCGCGACTGCTGCTGGTGCTGCTGATGGTGGGGGCGCGAAGAGTTCGGCGATCGAGTTGCTGGACGAGTTCAAAAAGCTAAGGGCGTCATGGCCGAAGGAGATGGCTAGACTTCTAGACCCATCGCTGCCTGATGAACGGCGCTCCGAGCTGTGGGAGATCATGTGTTCGGGGGGCGATGTGCTGAGGCAGCGGTGAGTCGGTGCGTGTGTGGACGAACATACGTTCCATTGGTCGGGTTGAGGTGTGGCCATGTGGGCTGTTCGCGGGGGGGGTCTGCTTGTTGCACCAGCAGATCCGTACTGCTGGCGGGATCATCGGGGGGTCATTCCAAGCAATAATCGCTCCAAGCAACAACTCGCTTTGTCCAGTTTCCATTCAGTCTTCGTAAAATGCCCCACTGCTGCCTGTGGTCCACAGGTACAGCAGTAGTTCTGAACTCTGCCTTCCTCCGAATATACCGCTCACGTGATTCGGCAATTGCTCGGTGATATCCCACCCTGTTGTGCCCGATGTTTCTTTTTTTTGTAGGTTTGCCTGGGCTATTCCGGACGAGAGGGCGCTTCGGATCATCAAGCATTTCGGCCCCATCGTGGAGGTGAGAGGGAACAGGTGCAGCTGTGTAAACGTGTAAACACTATCCCGCCACAAGCACAACTGGCGTGGACTGCTGCGTAGTCTGATGCTGCGGTACTGCTGATTAGATAGTCAACTATTACTTTTTCTGCGATCCTCCACAACGTGTAGTGTGATACCTCCTCGTCAGCGCGCCAATCAACAGATAAACTCAAGAGAATGCTGGAAGTCTGCTTCGAATACCGCGAGACAGAGAGGGGCAATGCGATCTGCACTAAATAGGAGTTTTGAAGTGCAAGGCCTCGTGTGACGACGTACGATCTAGATACTGTCGCGCACTTTCGGGTCCCACGGCAGTTGCGACAAGCCAAAAGTGCGTGTTCTAACACGACATCCGTGCTTCTCAACACGAAGTCAACGCCGCCCCAAGGGGCACCCCGGTTGGGACAAGCGTGAGGCCCATGGCGACAGCTGTAGCACGTGCCATCGCCCCCATGCATCAGCACAACCTTTGCACCTGGTCCGATGCCTTCTGGCGGGTGAGACACGTAGAACTTTCTTGTTGCTCGCAACCTCATCTACAACAGCGCGGTTCGCCACTCTCCCGAGTCCCTACACCTTGCCTCCGGCCTACTCTCCACGCAGGTTGGCAGTGGGCTGGGGTACTGGGCGAAGCTCTTGCGCGCCCGAGGCGTGGACATCAACCCCTACGACAAGGTGGCGGGCACCCCGGACACCGCCTCCGCAGCACCCGACTCTTCTCAAACCAAGGGCAAGAGTACGAGCAAGGACGCCAAGGTCAAGAGCGCAGCCGAAGGGGATGGAAAAGAGGACGCTGACGAGGGGGGGGGAGGCGAGGCGCCTTCGTTCTGGATCAAGGTCGGTGGGGGTTCGTGATTCGTTGTGTGGATAATGCGCGCGCCATGTTCTCGCCTGTGCTGTTTGCGAATAACGCCAAAGAGCGAAGCGCGCACCTCTTATGTGCGGTTGAAGTGTAGATGACAAACCCAACTTCGTTGCGACCCTACAGTAGTGTTATCTCTCCGCACGGGCGGGATCAACGTTTTCTACGGTAGTGTTCCGCTCTGCGCGTCCTGCGTTGTATGAGCAAGTAGTGAGTGGATACTGCGGCGCTTTCCAACCTTTAACAAAATCTTCTTTTGTTTCGGCATCCGATACATGTCGATGCTTGGGTCAACCTTGCCAGCGATCAAACGAGCGGCCAAGGGCTTTGGGGCGATATATCATGTAAGCACCACACCGCCTACGGCTACTGCCAGGTGCAGGAGAGATCGTGCTCACCGAGCTTGATCCGCTCCTTTTCCCCCTTTGTCGGTGCTAGTGTAGGGGTGGGTGTTCCTGCTTGACAAACCATGTCGTCGGATGCAACGCAGGTGAATGAGGGTGGACCCGACGTGTTGGAAGAACCCTGCAACGAGGACCGCTCGCTGTTCCTGTGCTACCCGGACGACTTTGAGGGAGAGACGGAAAGCCTGGGTCTCCGGTGCTTGCACGCCTTCGAAGGAGACGTGGTGCGTGCTTTTGCGTCCATCGGGTGGCGACGACAGGGATTGTGTTCCTGACCAGTGTTCACCTGTTGTTCAGGTGGCACGCTGTGTCAACAGGTTGTTGTGAAATTGCAACATCTGAAGCTGTGGAGGGCAGATTCTCTCAAAATCTTTCCCGTATACCATGGTATCTGGCATTTCACGGGTTGTACCATAAAATAGTCGCGCACCTTCACACACGTGGGTTGTACGGCACACGGGCTCGATACCCTGGTTTGGCTGTGGACATTTTTTTTGGCCAAGCTTGACATTCTCGACAAGACGCGTTCGTTCCACGTTGCCATTGTAGCATAAGAACCCACGCCCGTTAGGTGATCCATGTCGGGGAGCTGTTCGGGGACTCTGTCAGCATGACGCCGGGCCAATCGCCGTGGGGTCGCACAACTTCGCAGGAGTGCCAGGAGGAACTGGCGTCCAAGTTCCACTGCATTCTAAAGGTCGGACCCACGACAACTTTGTGGTTGCCGTCTGATTAAGTTTCTCCACGCTTTCTTCGTCGGTGGTTGATCTGTATCTGTTCTCTGCTCTGACTGCATCGAATATTAGGATAATCACAATTGTAACACTGGTTGGGTGTGGTGTGGAAATATGGGCAGAATCCGCTGGTCACTGCTGTGCGCGCCAATCACCGCTACTCTTGCGCCCAAAGTAGATGCTGCAGAACTCGCTCTGGTTTGCCTGTTCACAAGGCTTACCAGCAGTTGCTTTGTTGATGGACGCGCACGGCCAGTCAAAGCATTTAATTCCTCACAACCGGTAGTGTAGAATAGATACTGTAAGTTCATTTTTGGTACAGGATTTACGTTCGAACGAGGAGTTCGTTGCCTCGTTTGTTAGAGGGGCTTCCAATCGCAGGAACGTCCCTCCTGAAAGTGCGTGGCCGCACTGCTTGATGGCATGGCCTCGTTGATAGCTGAGGCGTAGACTAGCCTTTATTCCCCCGAGCCAACGGACGAATATGTTACTGTTAATGGCGCGTCTACGACAGTGACGGTGGTTCAACCCCCGCCCCCGCCAACCCTTTCTCTCTCTCTCTCTTTCTCTCCTCTCTCTCTCTCTCTCTCTCTCTCTCTCTCTCTCTCTCTCCTGCCTCCCCGTGTGTCGTCGCCCAAACACCAGGTACCCCTCCCTAGCTGGCCTCACTCTCGCGACACGCTGACCGTGTGGAAACGGCACTCGTTTTGCTCCATCCAGTATGACGACGACGACGATAGTGATGATAACGAGGCAGACGAAAAAGGCAACGAAGGCGACAAGGACGCAAAAGCCCAAGGAAAGGAGCCGGGAGAAAAGGGCAAGAATTCGTCACCCAAAGGCGTTAGCGGGGACGGGCATGGGGCTGAAGGCGGAGGCCGAAAAGGGGGAGAGAAGGGTGAAGGAAGCGACAAGGACGGCTCCGATGGCGATGATGATAGCGACGAGTCTCGTTCTTCTTCAGGGTCCGATGATTTCGGGTCGATAGAAGGCCTGCCGATAGGGATGCTCGACGTCGACATGTACGCGTTTGTACCCGAAGACGAGAGGATGCCGTGCGCGCAGGCGGCGCCGTGCGCACGGTTTCTTCTCGACGCGGAACCGTAAGAATATTGAGGCGTAGTGGTAGCTTGCATGTGTCACAAAGGGTGCGTTCCTTCGTGGAAACCGTGGTCGCGTTTGGAACGTGGCTTGAGATTTTCGTTTCTTAACGGCTCGCGGGGTCAGACGGCCAGGGAATGTGTAACGGCTGTGACTTCTCGCAGCGTTTCCGAGCGGTCATTCCTTAGGCTCGCAGGACGTCTTGTCGTTGGTATTCGGCCGACTATCAGCACGGGTCGCCACTCGTTCAGAGATGAAAAGCCGAACGGCCGCGATCGTCGTCTCTCAATCTGAAGCCACCCAGTTAGATGGCAAACAAACTCGTTGTTCGTCTCGACAACAGAAGTGTTGTTGTTGTTGTTGTTGTTGTTGTCTTCACATTAAAAAACGTTCCGTTCTCTCTGCCCCGTACCTTCTTCTGTCCGTACTAGTCTAACGTAAGGCAAAAATGGTGGAAACGAATTCATGTCAGTTTTAGTTTTCTACCTGCTGCGTTGCTTGTGTGGTATAGACCATAGTTTCTACCGGGCGGTCACGAGGAGGGTGGCAATTGAGCTTCCACCGTTTGCATCGCTTACTCACATGGAGGAAAACTCTCGAGGGTGTCGGGGTACTTTTCCTCTGCGCGCTTGTTACAGCCTTGCCTCGGGGCTCTCGTTTCTACCCCCCCCCCGGTAGCTGATAGAGAACCACACCATGGAGAACAAACCGTAAAACAAGCTGCTGCTGTGGAAATCGGACACATAGATTGGTCACAACAACACAACAAACGCAACGAATTTTGCCGAAACACCGACGTCGGATAAAGACTTCATCGCATGCCCTCTTGAGCATGGATAAGAAGGAGCTTGGGCGTCTACTGCTGCAGCATCTTTTTTGTGTTGTGAAAAATAGTGGTGAAGCAGCAAGGGTTGTAGGATAAATTCGCGGTGAATTCGTGGCGTGTTGTGACCTACTGTATGTACCAGTGTTTCTACCACTAGTCTAGTCCTCGGACAACATATAACAGTGATATCTCCCCTATCTCTTTGGGTAGCAGGCTCACAAGTTTGTTGACATACATGTACTGCTGTAGAGTGGCACCGACGCTGTGGAATAACGGACCAACCTCCAATGTTACCATTCGAAATTCGAAACCGTCAGTATAGTTTCGCCGCATTTTTTTCGACCAAGACTCGCGCTCCCTGGTGCTCTCTCTCGTCTCGTTCGTTCTCCCGCACGTTGCAAACAGAGTGCACTTGTTGATTTATGATGTGCATTGCCTGTTTAGGTTCTACTACAACTCGCCTTGTTCACCGTGCCCATTATCGCTACGCTCTCCGCGGGGTCAAGTACATACACCGACGGCAACATCCGACGAGCTCTTCACCATGAGCTCGGAAAGCCCGGAGCAGCTCACGGACATCGTCGTGTGGGTAGACACGACGCTCAGAGGGCAGGACCCCGGTATCTCCCACCCACCCAGCAATCCGCACACGAAATTCCCGTTCAACAAGATGGGGAGCTTTTTCGAGGGAGCGGCGGGGGCGATCGACGTTGCCGAAATGGAGCGTCAAAACATGAGTAAGGCCGAGGGTGAACAGTGTGCGCTGGACGATTTCTGGGGACTGGTTGCGAACCAGGTGGAACAGGCTGAAGCGACGGCGGCAATGGAGCGAGAAGACCTTCTAAGTGCGCAAATTAGGGCGAGGATCAAGAAAGAAGAGAGGTACAGGCTCTGGGAGCAGGAGGACCGAAGGAAAAGGGAAACTAGGAGCGCCGTAAGAGAGCACCTGGAGGACCATGCTCGCAGGGAGTACCTCGAGGTAAATATTTTCTTTGAAACCTGCCTGGACTGTATTGTAGCTATCTACACAGGCTCTTTTTAGTTCCAGCCAGCAAACAAGTAGCACAAAGAAAGCCCCAAACCACCAGAGAAATATTCCCACAGGCGTGTTTTCGCCTGAGGTCGTGTTGCACTTGTACCAGGTGCAGTTGTGGCTCCGAAATAAGAGGGTACCTTGTAAAAGGGGGCTCCGATATGAGAGGGTCGAAATCGGTGGTCACGGACTCGACCGGCTACAGTATTGGTACCCTCTTAGACTATTCCGTCCGGTTTAAGAAGGGGTTCAGATATCAACGGTTCAAGGGTCTTTGTCACACCACCCTCTGAATATCGGAGCAACGACTGCTGTAGACTATGCATACAATATTTAGGCTCGAGCCAACCGTAGTGGCCGAGGAACCAGGCATAGATCCCATTTATTTGAGGCGTGGGTCTTATCCCTCAGTCCGAGGTACGTACAACAGATACATACACGGGATGGCGTGCCGTATTTACAGTGCGTGCCTTGTTATGAAGGTCTCTATATGGTATATATCAACATCCGTCCGACGTGAAGCGACATATATATGGTCAAATGTATATTGTAGTCATTCGTTGCTTATTGGTGCACGTTCTTATCTGTTTTCCCAAAGAAGAAGTATAATGATAAAATTGCGAGTCCATATAGAAGGAAGGGCACGAGCAGGGACGCAAGACTAGGTAACCTTCCACACAGTTTAATAGCACGCATCTTCGGCCGCCTTCTCTGTAAAACACTGCTGTCTTTGGATGAGAACGCGTCACCTGTTTTGAACATGGGGGCAAGAAAACGCTAGAAGAGTTGGACCCCATGTAACATTCATAGGGTAACGTCGCTCGAAAATGAGTTTCATCAAGCATCCTCGTGCCCGATAAACCGACACGCGCTTGGTGTTGCCCGTCGACGCTGTACGCTAGATATTCTACAACGCACCTTCGGCAGAGATGGCCATGAACTACACCTGGCCAACTCGTGGTTCGCTAGACGGAACAACACTGGGTCAGAAATCGTCCGGTTCGCCGATGGGCGATACGGAGGTGACGTGGACCGGGAGGGGAAGCAGCGGTCGTGGTGGTGGCGGCGGGGAGTCTCCTTGCACAACGTCACGAGGTGGTGATGACGCGGGAACAGCGCTGTCAGCAGCTCAGAGCAGTCGGGACGTGCTCAGCGATTGGAACCCGAGCAGCTGCAGCAGCAGCAGCGCGGGTACAGGGACGGAGGGCTCATCGACCCGTCCGTTCCACGTCTTCTGCGGCAAGAAAACGCACCAGGTTTTCCCGGCGAGAGACTGCTTCGTCCCTCCCCGACACCTCTCCGAGCCCACGACGAAGCACGGTCTTATCTCGGTGCACGCGTTGGCTGCTGCTGCTGCTGCTGCTGCAGCATGCCCGGCCGGCCGAGAGAAGACTGCAGGACCCGAGACGGTTGACCCCGCCGGCGCCAACGCCCCCTCGGGGGTCTCCAAGGCTGTGCACCTGCCCCCCCTTCTTGAAACACATGGGGAAGGCTGGCCCGCGGCGGTGCCCAGCGCCGGGAGAGTAGCCGCCACCGGGGAACCGCTATCTTCGAACAAGAGGCCGCCCTCATGGCAACGGCCGCGGTCGGTGTCCTCTTTCGAGCGCAAGCTCGCAGCCCGTCGCCAGCAGTGGTCGAGAGAGGCCGAAGAGGAGGCGGAGGAGCGAGCGTTCGCGGAGCAACGGCGCACTCAGGAGCTGCTTCTGGGCGTACAGGGTATTGACGACGGGGGCTGGCAGGGTGGCGGTAGAGCAGGCTACCGCTACAAGGTCGGGGAAACTGCTGCCATTTCGCCGGGGTCCACGCGGGCTGGACGCCGGTGCCACAGGAACGGGGGTGGTGTCAGGTTTGCTCGGCAGCGTCGCGCACGGAGCCGTGGCTGGCGAGACCGTGGCTACCACGACTGGGGTGATGATGAAAAGGTGACGGAGTTGGTTCCTGAGGTGGAGGAGAAGCTCCTGACCGAGATGTATGGCATGTTGGACGCCCGACATCGGGGGGAGGTCCGTCTTGACGAGGTCTTGTTCTACATGACGGAGAACGCGCAGGTAGGTGCGAACGGACGCTTCACCGAAGCTCTACTAGCAAGACGTAGAAGAGCTTCGAAACATTTTGCGTACATCCGTGCCAAGCCTCACACGCTCCCGCTGTAGCTCTTCGCCGGGTCGCAACGGACACTGAAGCAACCGAAATCCAACCCAGCATACAGGTACTATCGGTGGTGACCCCAAGCCACGTCACGTCCTACTGCCGACGGCCCAACACATGTTCTGCAGAAGAAAATTCCAGGCAGACGTGCCCATCTGACCGATCAGACAGGTCACAGCGGTCTCACGTCGATTGTGCCACCCCTCGCGAACGCAGCTTGGACTTACTCTCCCCCCCCCACGCACCCTCGCTGCCAACCCCACTCGACCCTTCAGGTTAAATCGATCTTAAAGCAAGTTCCCCTTTGGATGCTGACGAAAACCCGTCGTTGGGCATGGGTTGACGAGCTACTCGCCGCCCAGCCCGGCCGCACGCTTACCTTACCGGCGCTGCTGGCCTTCAGTCGCAGTCTTCACGAAGAGAGCCACGTGCCACGGAAGCACCTGCGGCTCGCAACGGAGCTGGGGGAGGGCGGCGTGGAGCGGAAGGATGTCCGCTCGAAGCGACTTTTGCCGGCTGATTTAGTGGAAGGGGCAGAGGTGGAAGCGCTGTTTAGAAAGGTAAGATGTTGCCCTGTCGTATTCCGCAACGGACAACCCTGGATCGCCAACGTAAAGAACAACAGGACGAAAATCTGACATGCTGGTAACGCTGCCCGCACCCTGGCAGACAATAGCCGCAGAGGTGGCCGGTGATTTGTTGTTACAACTTGGACGTCGCCCTCACAACGTGATGGCTATTTGTATGAAGCGGACCTGGAGGTGTTTGAATCTTCTTCCCTCTTTACAAACCAGAACGTTACGGAATCGTGTCATTCCGTGTTCGTAGCTCCTGGCTGGTAGCCCTCGACTGTCCCACAGTCAGATGAGTAGATGTTCAATCGCGTATTAGTCAGTTGTCTCACAACGGCCGTGGGTCGGTTTCGGGGGTGAATGGTTACTCTCGGATACTCGATGGTGAGCTGGGTTGGAAGTACTCAGACCAGCGTATCTCTCTCGACGGCTGAGGATGATGTGAAGGAGGCGTTCTTCGCCGTGAACGATAGCACCCCCGTTGTGAATAGCGCCTCCTTCGCACCATCCCAAGTGGTAGGTACTCGGCCTCAGCCTTCGAAAGAGAAACGCTGGTTGGTCTGAGCACTACTAACCCACCTCACCAACGAGACTTCGAGAGTGGCCGCCACCGACAATCCGAGCTCTCTGATGGCTGTTGTTCTGGTTCTACGCTTTCTTGCCACAGCCATCGCACGACTTGAACACATTTTGCAGGGATTTGAGCGATACCGGGCATGGATCGTCAGGTGCCACGCGGATGATACCTTCGACGTACGCTTCACGCCCCCCCCCTCGCTTTGCTCGGACGAGCCGTCTCCCCGTCGGGGGGGGCAGGAAGCAGGAGAGCAGCGACCCGAGTTAGAGACATCCTCTCGATTCTCCGGATCGGAGGAGGACTGGAGGAGTGATGCAGAGGTGCGATGTCACGAGCCATCACGCGAACAACTCGACTTTGCACAGTACCGCCAAGGGAAGGGGCTGCATTAACTGTGCTTTAACTCAGAGGGAAAACTCACTTGTTGGGGGTTCTGTTGGAGGTGCGGCATGATCTTGCTCTTATGCTCCCACCCATACGGCGCGAGGCTACCTGACAAGCTTGACCTGAGGAAAATGGCATACACACTGGCACGGACACAACAAACCAGTGCCAAAAAATACGTTGCGGGCTCCACAACTCCAACCCTACCACGGAGCGTATGTGCTACCACGGAGCGTGTGTGCGTTCCCGAACACTTGAACTACAATAGTGACAGGTTCTACCGTAAGGATACGTGTGTTGCTGTACACCCGTGTACGCCGATCCCTCACAGCAACCGTGCCCACATTCTGTCTCGCTCATTCGATCGCCCAGAACTCTTCTCTGAAAGCGGAAGAAGAGTGGAAGGCAACCTGTGACAGCGTCGCCCGATTTATTGGTGAGCACGCGGTCTGTTGCACGACCACGGTCGTTCATTGATCTTGAAGGCAACGACCTTCTCTCCCGCGTGACACATGATTTAAGCCGCAGGAACGAGTGCAAACAAGAAATAAATGCGTTTCGTCCAGTACATCTGCCGAAGTACATACACGTATACACGTTGCTCGGGTTAGGGGCGAAAATTGGTTGATACGCCTTGCTCTGTGTTTTTTTTTATCTGGCCAGCGTGTTCGATCGAATTGACAGTTGTTCCCTAAACTGATCCGTGATTCCCGCGGTCGCAGGCATTCCGCCGGACCTCGGAGAAACCGAGACAGAGGTACTCGAAAAGGCCTTCGACGCCATCGTCAACTTGGTCTCACCGACAACACAGGCGGCCCTCGATAGCGACGAGACCGACGCGGTCGGGGATGCAAGAGGCAAAAGCGGGAAAGGAATCAAAGGACCCAAAGGAATCACCACCCCCACCGCAAATCAACCGCCAAATCCCAACCGTGAAGATGCGACGCAGCAGGGGGGCCTTGCTCGTAGACGACAGCACGAAGATGGGGGTCATCTCGAAAGAAAAAACGGTCTTGTTGGAACCCCGGACGCTGACGCTGCGCCGCGGGTCCCCGCCGGTGAGATAATCCGTCTCCTGCGTGCGGGGGCCATCGACGGTTACCGGCGAGCGAGTCCGGCCCTCAGCGCGGCGTGCATTTACGCAGAGTTTGCGGAGGGATTAGAAGGCGCTGCCGCAACAAGAGGGCAGGACAGGGAAGCTCGCACGGCAAATCATCCTATAGCGGACTGCTGTACGGATGAGGAGGGGGACACACGTGGGGGGCAGCGAGGTAGCAGGGACAAGGGGGAGTGGGGGATATCGAAGGAGGAGTTCTGTGACTACTTTGAAGCGGTCACGGATCTGGTCGATCTAAATGGTCTCAGCTTGGTCCCCCAGGTGCCGCGCGGCCTTGCCCGACCATCGGCGGTGGAAGGAGGGTGAGCGCTGCCAGTCAACCGCGCAAGCCAGGATCTGTCGTCGCGGTCACCTGGTCAACCTTTACACCATTGAGATTTTTTTTTTTTCCCGTGGAGTTCAGTTTTTCGGAAGGTTGTTGCTGATTCTCAACTTTCAACAAGTAGTGGTCCCTGTTTAAGCGGCCAAATAGCGCCAAGGGACTCGACGGGCCTTATACGGGACACCCGGCCCTATTCAGAGCATGAGCCCATGTGAGTCGCGTGATTCCACCGACCTCATACAGGGCGACCGGCCTTATCTATGCGGCCTTTCACAGGGTCCACTACTTTTACCATCATGCCGATCGCTTTCGCACCAGAGCAGGACCGAAACGGGCGTATGACGTTCCACCACACTAGGAGTAAACCATTTACTAGACCAGTTAGCGCCGTTAGCGCCGACATCTGTCGGTCTGATTTCGGTTGCGAAAGACTAAAGACCGTGGTGCAACCGGTTTGGTTTCAGTTTGGTCCTTAACATCCCTCGGGACAAATCACGCATCGCGCCCGTCTACATGTCTCGCATCCCCGAGAGCTTATCGACCATTTCGGGTTGACTCGTCGATACCAAAACTTCCTTGGATCAGCATTTTATGTCGCCAATCCGAGAACAATGGGGTCCTTCCTTCCCGGCGGCACATGTTACTCAGATATGCCGAAAAAAACAGATGTGACCCGTAGACATGCTATCGATGGCGTTCTGTATCTGATGAAAGGAATAAAGACACCCACTATTCTTCCGGATTTTTGAGGATGCCGCCCTGCTACTCCCGCCGGTCCTGTTACCTCCCTCCCTAAGCCTTACACGAGCACCTGCGACTACAGCTTCTAGTGCCGGTATACCTGAAATCGTGAAGGACGCCTGTGCTCGCTGCGAAAACCCCAATAACTCTATACGCCCCACATGTCCTGGGTACTCCTCCGCCGACCGTCTAAATGGTACTCTTATACGTTTACATACTCGCAGAAAAATCTTAACACGTTTACAAACTCGCAGGAAAATCGTTGCTGCCCACGCCTTTGGCGAGCCCTCTCAACGATACGGAGGCGTGCAAGCAACCAAACACCCCTCATCCCCACGGTGTGAAAATGAGCCGCACGCGAACCTCCGAAGAAAAAAAACACAACCTCATTCGGCGGAAGCGATGGGAACAGGGGAGCCAGCCGGGATCGCTACGAGAGGGTGTGCTACAACGATTTTTAGGTGTCGAACACGGAAATGTCCTTGGTGATGTCCCACGTCGCCACGCAGTGGTCCCCGCCCGCTGAGGCCACGACCCCGTCCGACAGCCAGGCCAGCCCTTCCACGCCGTCCTTGTTCGCGAAGGTGTAGTGGACGCGGCGCCTCGGCTTTGCCGGGTTCCACACGAACACGTTCTCGTCGAGCCCACCGGACGCCAGGTAGGTTCCCTCCGGCGACCACGCCAGGCACGCCACGCGCGCCGTGTGGAACTGCCACAGCCCCCGCACCTCGGCGTCCCAGTCTCCCCCCGCCCGCCACACCGTCACCTCGCGGGCGGCGTCCCCGGCGGCGAGGAGGGTCCCGTCCGGGGAGTACGCGACGCAGGTTACCTCCCCGCGGTGGCCGTCCACGACCTTGGTCTCCCTCAGCTCGTCGCCGGCCGTCTCGTAGACGTAGATCTTCCCCTCCTTGGACCCGACCGCGATCTCGCCGGCGCCGGGGGCCATGGCGATCGAGGACGGCGTGTACGTCGCCGACAGGCCGACGGCGGGGGTGGTGCCTCGGAGGAGCGTGACTCCCTGGTTGGTGGCCACGGCCACGAGGTCGGAGTCCGCGTTCGCGGCGACGCCGCAAGGCTGGCCGGTCGTCCCGACAGACGCGGTAAACACGGGGCCCCCACCGCTGCCGCTCTCGCCGTCGAGAGGAGCGAGCCGCAAGGTGTCGTCCCAGCCGACGGACACGACGCCCGCCGAGCAGGCGGCGATGCCGGTGATCTTGTTGCTGTGCACGGCGCCGGTGACCGGGGCGGCCTTGCCTCCCGTGCACCGCTTCGCGCCGCCGGTGGCCGGGTCCCACGCGCACAGCACCCCCGTGAAGGAGCCCGTCAAGATCTTGCCTGCGGCGGCCCCGCCCCCCGCGGACACCGGGCTCCGGGTCATCGCGGTGATGGCCCCCTGGTGGGCCTGGTACACGTCGCGGGGCCGCTCGGAGCCGGCGTCGAGCATGTTGACGTTGCCGTTGAGGGAGACCGAGACCAGCTGCTCGCCGCAGAAGGCCACCGCCACCTGCATGTCCCCGACCCCCGGGGAGTCGGAGATGCTCCACGTGTGCGTGCAAGCGCCCGAGGCCGCGTCGAAGAGGCGGACGGTCTTGTCGGCGGAGGCCGTCGCGACGGACGATGAGTCCGGGCTCCAGGCTAGCGAGTAGATCGAGCCCGCGTGAGCGCCTGCTGCCTCGCCCAGGGTGGACAGCGGCTCTCCCGTCTTCCCGTCGTACAGCCACACCTGTTGAGGTGTTCGCGGACGAGGTCGGCGGGGCGGGGGGGGGGGGGGGGGGGGG